AAATTCTTTTGCTCACTAATAATATGTCCTAAAAATACAAGTTCTAATTCATAGAATTCACATTTATCTTTACTAAACTTCAATCCTGCCTTCCTTAACTTTTCAAAAATGTGCTTCAGGTGTTATATGAATTTCTCAAAGATGAAAAAAAAATAATAATGTCGTTAAGGTAAACTGCTACAAACTGTCCAATCTCTTCTTTAAAAATTTTATTCATTAATTTCTAAAAAGTAGCAGATGCATTTATTAATCCAAATGGTATAACTTTAAACTCATATAATCCCTGACTTGTAATGAAGACTATTTTTGCTTAGTCTACAATTTCTATTACTACTTACCAATATTTGCTAGCTAAATATAATGTGAAAAAATATTTAGAATGTCTAAACATATCTAATAGTTAATCAATTTGTGATAATAGATATTTATCTCTCTTAATGCTATTCAATTTCTAGTAATTAACACAAAATCGTAAACTTTCATTTTTCTAGTATACAAGAATAATAGGTGAAGTCTATGAACTTTCAGAGAGTTGAATAAGATTGTATTTTAACATCTGATTAATCTCTTTCTTAATGAATTCTTATTCTAAAGATGTAACTCTATAAGCTTATTATTGTATTAGAAGAGGATATTCTATTGGAATATGGAAGTGTTTCTAGAAAAATCAGATTTTGAAAAATTTTTGACTAAAATTAAGAGCTTAATATATTTTAATCTAATAACATCAAAAACTAAAATGCAATAAAAATTTCAATTTCGCTAAAAAATTCCTAGAATCTGATTTTTCTAGCAATCAACCTATATGATATTTTTTGATGGCAATGTATCTTAATTGTGATAAATTACCGGCAAATGCATTAGTATTGTTCTGTAAAAACTGTTGTAAATCCTTCTATTATTTCTATTTATTATATTTTACTTAAATTTTTAATATTTAATTTTTTTATAAATTTTAAGCCTTTTTATTATAATATCAATCAGTTAATAAAACTTTAGCTATTATTATTTATAAATCCAAATTTGCATAACTTTTTCAAATAATAAAAATTAAATTAAATGTTGTTTTTATATTTGTAAATTATGAAAATTTTGCTTGAATATTTACTATATTTACTATACTTACTAATAGTTATTCTATCAATATTTAAGTAATTATATTTTATATTAAACATTTACTTAAATTATATAAGAATTACTTAATATATAGACTCTTTGCAATAGAAAGGGAGGAAACTACCAAAAAAATTTTTTTTTTACTTTATAAACTAAATATTATTTTTTTTTAATAAATAAGTTCAGATTTAATATTAATTTAAAAAAAATTTTTTTGGTAGTTTTCTCTCTTTCTATTATAAAGAGCCTATATATTTACAAATTTCTTTTTTTATATTTATATAAATACCTATTATATTTTTTTTGTAAAGTTATTATAGAATATATTGATAATATAGTTAAAATTTTATAATAATGTATTTATACCTTATTTTTATTATTTAATATATTTAAATTAATTAGTAGTCTATTACTTTGTAATAAGTTTTTAATTAGCTTATATAAAAAATTGATTGAATTTTTAATACAAAAATGTAACACATAAAGATGGTCACCACAATTAAAAAAAATAGCGTAATTGAGTTGCAACTTGTAGTGCAATTAAATTTCTTATGATACAATTAAATTGCATCTCAATTTAAATTTGAAAATAATTATGAAGATTATCTTTAGTAACATAATATGATTAAATTTAGTATTAAATCAGTAATAATTATCAGTATTAAATTAGTAATCAATAATAATAAGTCATATAATTAAATTATATAAATATCTTAACGTTAATAGATAATTATATTATATTAGTCTAATAATAATTACTTTTTGATTACTAATTATCTAATTAAAAATCACATAATTTATGGTAAATTCTAAATGTAATTAGTTTATATAATTTAAGTTCTATATTAAAAGAACTTAAGTTAGTAAATTTTATATAAATTTTGAAAAATTTATTGAAAATTTAAATTAGTATTACTTGTAAAATTTTAATAAAAATCATATTTAATTTTGATGTTAATTTTAAAAAATTTTATTACAATTAATTCTTGTTATAATGAATTCTATGCCTTAGACTTCAACTTCGCTATAAGACTATAATAAAGATTTTAAGAGATTTTATTGGCCAATTTGCTATAACAAGAGTATTTTTATTATATTTGTTTAAAAAATTCATTATATCAAGAGTTCATTATATCAAGAGTTAACTGTATATATAATTTGATATATGAAAATTTGAATTAGTTTTACTTAGTATAATTATATGAAATAACTTTAAAAAAAATAATATAAGATTAACCATGTGAAATAGCTGATTGTAGTAGATAAATTCTTTTTTAAATTATGTAATATTATATAATTAATTATTATTTATATAGTTATTTTAAAGATCATCATTATACAAGTATATTTTTATTATATAGATTATATTATTATAATTATAATTATAATTATAATAATATATAATAATAATAATAATAATAATTTTAAGATATAAATAAGGTAAATTATATAATATTATATAAAACTTCTAAAAAAGAAAACTTGTATAATTAATTTGCATAATCTTAATCCATTTTTCTTAACATTAAAATTATAGATGAAGGATAAAACCCTTTAATAATAGTTGAAACTTAGATAAAATTATATTAAAATTATAATAAGAGATTTGACAAAACTCATTTAATATAACAAAAACTGAAACTGTCAAAACTATATTAAAAACATAGAAAAGAGTATGATGAAATTATTTTGAGGAGATTTCAGCAGACATTTATAGTTAAGATATAAATTTTTATTTTGAAAATTTATATAATGATACACAATTTAATAATTTTTTATTTAAGTATTCTAAAGTTAACTATTATACAAGTATTTTTAATTATATAAGATTATATAGAATATTATTAATAAAAAAATTTTTAAATACAAAGATAATATATGAGTTTTTTTATTATTTTTATAATTTAAAATATTATAAATTATATAATTTATTATTGATAAAAAGTATTTAAATTTGAATTAAAGTATTAAGAATAATTTATTAAATATTATATTAAAATTTATAAATAATAATTTTTAATTATTAAAATTTAAATTCAATTGATTTATTATTAATAATTTTTTTATTTATTTTTATTTATTTATTTTTAAAAAAATTCTTAATATTATAAAAAAAAATAAATATTATTTTAATTATTCTGATTTATAATATATATATTACTTATAAATATAATATTAGAATACTGTTTATATAAAACTGTTATATTTGATATATTTGGTATATATTTATTTGCTTTTATAAATAATATTCTTATTTCTCTTTCATAATATCTATATTGTTTAACATCATAAAGATAATCATTAAATAATATTAAAATTACAAGATTTACATAATTTATTAATTAAGTTTAATTAGTATTTATAAATCTATAATCTAATTCTTTTTCAAATTTTAGATGAGATCCAATAAATATATCTAAAAATTAAGTTTGTATTATAATTTTTATTGTAAAATAGAGGTTCGGTCATAATTATATCAAGAATATTAGAAGCTTGAATATATGATTTTTTCTTCAAGATATCTGAATATATAGTAATATTTTATATATTTGATTTTTATCCAAATAATCCAAAATCTGAAATATATATATAATCTTTATATAGTAAAATGTTACTATATATAAGTTCTTATAACAATATCCTAATTTATGTAAAGCTTTAACTAGTTGCTATATGATATAAAAAGTCAATTTTATTAACTCATAAAAAATCTTTAAAAGATAACTTCTCAAATTTTCTATAGAAACAAATTTCATAATTAAATAAATTCTTTTGTTCTTGAATCTTTAATTATTTCAAAGTTGATAATGTCAGTTGTCAGCTTCTCTAACTAAACGAAAATGTATTTAAACTATTAAAGTATTTTATTTATTATTAACTTTAAAAAGATAAAATCAACATATAAAAATATACCTCATTGAGATAATCAGCTGAAATATTCTGTGAATCATTAAACTTTTTTAAAACAATTTTTATAGATTTATAATCTAATTTCTTCCAAATTCCATCTTTTTATTTTCTAAATTTTTGATTTACCATCTATCTATTGTTACAATATAGGCTTTGGCAAATCCACTTAAGCCAAGTTCTTTCATATCAGTAAATTTATCATAAGTCATCTATTCAAAAATTCTGGAAATCTTTCAAACATTGAATCTTTAATTAATTTATCATATGGATTACCGCTAGTCTATCCTCCAATTATACAATAAGGATCACATTCTTTACACCATAATTTTTAAGTGATTTATTAAATAAGAACAATTATTATTGAAGGTACAGTATTTAATTTAGATTCTACTCCTTCATCTTCATGGTTATCTATACATTTTTTTTAACAATTTATTTTATTCTAGCTAAATGATAAATGTGTCCTAAAGGATCGTTGTAAGTTTAATCAATAAGGATAGAAAAGGAAATATTTCGTCTACATTTAGAGAAAATTTCAAAGTGAAAATTACCCTTTATCATAGAATAATTTTTTGATATGCGCAATTAAAAAAAACTCTGTAACACAGGCCGATTTGACGCTGTGTAAATTCGTGTTTCATTATTATTAGTTTAATTTTCTTTATTTTTAAAAAAAAAAATTTTTAATGCAAAAAAAAAAAAGATAATCTTTTATCATCTGTGTGTGCAATCTGGCCAATTAAAAAAAAACTACAGGTTTCCCGGGACCAGCCCCATGAATTATTAGCAGCATGACATGACGAAATGAGTCGGGTAATCTTTTTTGATTATTATAAAATATCTGATTTAATCTTATCTGACCCGTTATTTTTTTTTCTTCTCACCATACCTTTTGTTTAACAAAAAAAAAAAAACCACCTGTAAGTATCAATTAAAAATTTTTTTTTTTTTTCATAATCGATTTTTCCGCAGTAATGGTCGGTGTATGTTTTTTACGAACAACTTCTACGTTTTTCAATATTGCACGAACTACTTCCTTTAGAACGTTGACTACCATGGCAAACCCAAAATGTTTCTTTGATATTGCTGCTGGCGGACAGCCATTAGGTGTAAGTTTTTTTTAGTAATAACCTTATTTTTTAACTTTAAGATATTTAAAAAATCATTTTAATAAATTTCTCGTGTTTAGCGTATCGAATTTGAACTTTTTGCCGACGTTGTTCCTCAAACCGGTAGATAAAATTTTTAATTTGTGATACTATCGACGCAGTAATCAGATATCCTAATTAATCTCTCTTTTATAGCTGAAAATTTTAGAGCCTTATGTACTGGAGAAAAAGGGTTTGGATACAAAGGTTCCAAATTCCATCGTGTTATTCCCCAATTTATGCTTCAAGGTGGTGACTTTACCAGGGGAGATGGTACCGGTGGAAAGTCCATCTACGGTCAAAAATTTAAAGATGAAAACTTTAACTTGAAACACGAAGGACCAGGTATATAATGTTATTTATTTACTTAATTACTATTTTGTTTATTCTGACCACTTTTATTAAATAATTGGATGATAAATTAGGTACCCTTTCTATGGCTAATTCTGGTGCCAACACCAATGGCTCCCAATTCTTTATTTGCACAGTTAAGACTAGTTGGTTAGATGGCAAACATGTCGTGTTTGGTAAAGTTGTTAATGGTTTGTAATTTTTTTTATTTGCTTTACTTTTTTTTTACTTTCCCATTTTCCTATTTAACTAAATTTTAATTTTTTTTTTTTCAAAATAGGTATGGATGTAGCCTATGAGGTAGAAAAATTGGGTTCATCCAATGGAAAAACAAGCAAGGATATTGTAGTTGTTGACTGTGGTCAACTCTGATTAATGTTATGTTAATGACGATGATTTTTTTCAATAAAGGCTAGGACTAGAAAGATTTTAATAGTTGTCAAATAATATATATATATTCTTTTTTCTAGTGACATTGAATATTGTGTCGTTTATATCATGTAATAAAGATTAAAATTTTTTATTTGATTTAATCATTAACAACCAATCAATATTTTGATATAAAATTTATGTTCTAATGATTAATATAAATTATTATTATATCTAAAAATTAAATTACGATGTAAGAATTTGAAGTTTAGCAAATTGTTCAGCAACTTTTACTGCTTCATCAAGTTTATCAATATTTGTTCCACTCCCTTGAGCGGAATCATCTTTACCTCCAGACTAATAATAAATTAATGCATTAAATTTAGATTTCAAAAAATTTCAAAAAAAAATATATACATAATATAATATAATATTACCTTTCCTCCGACAGTTTCTGAAACAGTCTTAGCCCATTCACTAGCCTTTAACCCCTTTTCAGTTAAAGGTTTACCTACACAACAAGAATGAGTGATTCTACTAGAATTTTCATCAACCGAAAAAATATATAAAGCTTTATCTTTTAAATTAGTTTTAACGTGAGCGATAGCATTTGCAATAGCTTTTGTATTGGATCCAACGTCTAATTTTTTAATTAGATAATGATTATCAGGATTCTGTTCAAAATAAGTATTTATCGCGTCTATAGCCTAAATAATTTTGGAAAATTTTAAAATATCATTAAAAAAATAAATTATATATGATAAAGTCATATTATCAAATAACAACCTCTTTTGTTCGAGCGGCTTTCTCTGCTTTATCAGCTTCTAAGAAAGCTTTTTTGAGACTCTGTATTTTTTCACGAAATTCAGCTTTTTTAAGAGCTGATATACTTGATGCGTCAAGTTCTCTGGTTAATAATTTCAACGCATTATCTAATTCGGCGCCTTGTAATTTTGATATTGTGTTAATTTTGTTTCGGAACTCGTCAGCAATCCTTTGAGCCTACAAAAATAAAGATTTATCAATTTTATGATCAAATAATTTTTAATCAAAAATTTTCAAAAATGGATATTAATGTTAACCTGCTGTGCCTCTTCTCCCGTGACCGCAACGATCCTACGAATACCTTTGGCGATACCTGATTCTTCCAGGATAATAAAGTATTTGATATCACCAGTTTTCGCGACATGTCTTCATAATTCAAAAGAATAAACACAATCTATTTATAAACAACCATAAAATAGATAAATCAAACAGTATACAAATTTCAAGCAAAACTTACGTTCCACCACAAAATTCTATTGAAGTATCTCCCCATTTAGGATTTGATACATCTCTCACAATATCTTCAACATCGTATCCAATAGAAACAACCCTTACAGGATCTGGATAAACTTCACCGAAAACAGCACGAAGTCCATGTATCGCCTTGGCAGTCGGCAATGAGAGGTCTTTAGAATATACCTTGTGATTTTTTTTTATAAATTCGTTTGAAATTGATTCAATTTGAGCAAGTTCATTGTTCGCGACACCTTTCTATTTTTTTAAAAAAAAAAATAAATAAAAAAAATTCAAAATTTTGTTGCATATCATTCCATCTCTTAATAAATCAATAATTAATTATAATCTAGTACTTTAAATGAAAAATCAAATCTTAATTTTTCTGGTGCAACAAGAGATCCTTTTTGGTCGATAGAGTTACCCAAAACTTCACGTAACGCATAGTTGAGAATATGCGTAGCAGTGTGATTATTTCTCAACGGCCATCGTCGTAACTTAACAAAAAAAAAAAATTATCTGATGAGTTAAAATACAAAGTAACGTTTAGACAAAATTTTATTACTACCTACTTCATCAAAAGTGGCAACTATTTCATTATCAACATTTAAATTACCATATTTTAGGTAACCAATATGCAAGACATAACCACCAAACACTTGCACATTTTCAACGACAAATTCAGCCTGTCCGTCTATGGTAATAGAACCAGTGTCGTATATTTGACCTCCTTGTTCGGCATAGAAATTTGTACGATCAAGAATAATACCAAAACTTTTATCAGAAGGTATATCGTTAGAAGATTGAAGGAATGTATGATTATAGAATATTGCCTTAACCGTAGCATTTATATTGCCGTTTTCTAAGTAAAAAAAAATTTTGTTATAATCTAATTCATTTACAATTGTTGATAAATTTATATATAATATATTTAAATACAAACGATATTTGAAAGAATCGTCAGTTGTTGAAACAATTTTCTCCTCTTCAATTTTCGCGAGGTCATGCATGTCCAATGCGACAACTTCTTGGTCACTGCCACCGGAAGAACGAGCGTTACGACTTAATGCCTTAGCCTTTTCTTGTTCTTTTATGAATTCCTGTTCATCAATTCCAAGGCCGTTTTCTTCGGCCATAAGACGTGTCAAGTCAACTGGAAATCCATATGTATCATATAATCGCCATACATCAGTTCCAGAAAGCAACCCTGCATTGGCTTGTTTAGCTTTTTGGAGATATGTATCAAAGAGCCTTTCTCCACGATCTAAAGTTCGAGAAAATGATTCCTCCTCTTCATCAAGAATTTCCTTAACATCACTGACGCGCTGCGTTAATTCGGGAAAAGCTACTCCCTGAGAAATATCGACAATTTTTTTTTTCCAAAAATTTCTATTGCATTAGAATATAAAAGATATCTCACAATTTTAATTTCTCAAGATTTACAACACATACCATTTCATTCACAACCGTGTCAACTAAACTGGAAAAAAAATGACCAATTTGTACATTAAATTTCTTTCGAGCATAACGTGCACCACGTCTCAAGATTCGTCTTAAAACGTAACCACGCCCTTCATTGCTCGGTACACCACCATCAGTAATAGCAAAAGTCAAAGTTCTCACGTGATCTGCAATTACGCGATATGCCATATCCAAACCATCTGTGTCATCCGCTCCTATTTTACCAGAATAAGGTCTAGATCCAGTTAACTCTTGTATTTTAATAAATATTGGTGAAAAGATGTCTGTATCGTAGTTTGAAAATTTATTTTGTAAACATGAAACGACACGTTCCAATCCCATTCCAGTATCAACGTGTTTACTAGGTAATGAACGAAGTAATCCATCTGATTCGCGGTTAAATTGAATAAATACAAGATTCCAAATTTCTAGTACACTAGGATCATCCTTATTAACCAAATGAGAAGCGTCACGACCACCAATACGATCAAAATGAATTTCAGAACATGGCCCACAGGGTCCAGTTTCGCCCATTTCTATGCGATTGTTACCAACGTAATGACAAATATAATAATATTAACTATAATTCCAACCATTAAATTATGATATATTTGACTTACCCCAAAAATTATCCTTGGAGTTTCCACGAATCAACCTCCTTTCTTCTACTCCGACGTCCAACCAAAATTTCTTGGCATCTAAATCAGCAGGTAAACCTAATTTTTCATCACCTTCAAAATAAGTTACATAAAGGCGATCTTTTGGAAGTCCGTATACTTCGATTAAAAGCTCCCATGCCATGGTAATAGCCTCTTTCTAGAAAAAAAATTTTGTTATAAAATATATGATGACAAAAAAGATAATTTAAAATTTTTTGATTCATACCTTAAAATAATCACCGAATGACCAATTGCCTAACATTTCAAAAAATGTATGATGATAGACATCTTTTCCAACATCTTCTAAATCATTATGCTTGCCACCTGTAAAAATACGAATTAAATCAGGAATCAGCATCAAAAATTATTAACATCATTCATACGTTGATTCTCTAAACCACGAATATATACCTGCGCGAATACATTTTTGACTATTAACCGCTCTTTTCAGTTTACCAAATTCGGAATTTGGGTCAACAGTGGCCAAAAATATTGACTTGAATTGGTTCATTCCGGCATTAGCAAATAATAAGGTAGGGTCTTCGAAAGGAATTGTTGAGGAGGAAGGGGTGAATTTATGGCCTTTTGACTCAAAGTATGAAATAAAAGTAGATCGTACTTTATTAGTAGTCCAGGTAATATCATTGCGTGTATTTGCTTGTGCCATATTTAAATTGTGAAAGCACTTTAAACACTTTGAATAACGAAAAGGAAATTGATTAAACTTTGAAAGAAAAGAACGCGAAGTTTGATAAAACATTGTTGATTGATTTACTTTTTTATAATGAATGGATCGTCCAATAATAGCTTTATGAACATGAACCTGAGTCATAATGTATCATAACGAAATCTTTTTTTTAATTTTTGTGCAACTTCATATAATCCTTATTCAGGGAAATAAAACCACTTCAATTCTGCCTAGTGATAGATCCAAATTCTAGAATTCTAGATATAATCTACTCGACTCATCTAATCAAATTTATCAAATCAACTGTCAAAAATAACTTGACAAAGTATACTCGGGTAGTATGTAAACATGACACGAATTAATAATTCAGGAAAAAACCCGTTGAAAAATTCAGTTTTCATGCTGTGCAACTAACCCAAATAAGAAAATATATGAATCTTAATATATAATTGACGCTTTGACAACTTTTTCTAAAGCAAGAAATGGCTGCTACTACAACTTTTATTGTTCCAAAGCGACAAATACTTACCAAAGAAGATCTTGAAAAGTTTCATGATTCTGATGCATTTAACGACTTTATTGGTTTTATTGAGAGATTAAATAATTCGGTTAAAGGACTATCCTTAACTACCGAATGTTTTATTTCTCCGGTAAATATTTAATTAGAATTTTCTGTTTATTTGAATAAGGTTATAACCTTTTTTTTTTTTTTTAGACTTTGTCAAAGATGTTGGAGATATTAGATCAAATGAATGCTTATTGCGAAGAGATACCACCTGTACAAAATGAAAAGAGTAGATTTGGAAATCCGGCTTTTAGGGATTTCTATGATCGAGTTGTTAATGTAAAGTTGATTTTCTTGTTGATTCTGTTCGGTTGTTCCATTAGATCTGCAGTAATTTATTCGTCATTTCATCTGACTGTTAGAATGCGGAAGAACTTCATGAAAATTTCTCTTTACCTTCGGCAGCCATTAAAGAAGTTTCCCGTTATTTTATGGAAAGCTGGGGAAATCGTAAGAGAATAGATTATGGCACGGGTCATGAAGCTAATTTCATGGCTTGGTTGTACGTGTTTATATATTTGGTATAAAATTTTTTTATCACAGCTAATTAATTCAAATTAATAAATTAACTTTATATTTATAGATTATGTTTTGAAAAATTAGGATTGATCGGATCAGATGATTACGCATCTATTATATTAAGAGTCTTTCAAAAGTGTGTATTAAATATATTAAATGTAAATATTACTTTTTAAGCTTTCTATCGTATTTCAAAAATATTATTTTAAATACAAATTTTTTTTTTTTTCTTTTGTTTTAAAAGGTATATAGATATCATGAGGAATCTTCAATTTAAATATTGGCTTGAACCAGCCGGTTCTCACGGAGTTTGGGGATTGGATGATTATCATTTTTTACCATTTATGTTTGGGTCATCTCAATTAATAGGTATGAAATTAAAATTGAGGAAATTAATTATTTGTTGAATCACATATTCATATTTATTATTATTTTAGGTCATAAATATATCAAGCCAAAGTCTATTCATGATAAGGATATTGTTGATGAATTTTCCAAAGATTTTATGTATTTGTCCTGTATAAAATTTATAAACTCGGTAAATATTGAAAATCATGTGATTTTTAGGTGTCGTTTTTAAACTTGATGCTAAGTAACTTTTAAATAGATTAAAACGGCATCCCTCCGATGGAATTCACCAATGTTAGATGACATATCTGGCAAGAGCTTTTATAGATCTATTCATAATAATTTCTTCATATCATAAATCATATATTAACCCTCTACGTCTTTACGCTTTGAATATTTTTTTAGGGGTTAAAGAATGGAAGAAGGTTAACGAAGGAATGATTAAGATGTATAAAGGCGAAGTGCTTGGAAAGTTACCTATAATGCAACATTTTATGTTTGGAAGTTTAATATATTTTGAAGGAAATTCTAATGAATTACAAGAACAGGATCATGATCATGATGATGATGATGATCACGTACACGCTTTTGGTCAAGAATTTCCTGATTGTTGTGGTATTAAAATCCCAAGTGCCGTCGGTGCTAGTCAAATGAATATGAAAGAAGGAAAATTTAGAAGGTTACCGTTCGATTAAGGATCAAAAGTTTTTAAGAATTAATTAATTTATCACTTTCAAAACTTGAAAAATATAAACATTAATATTATTTTTTTAATGTAAAATTTCTATTTATTAAAAATAAGAGAAAACAAGGAACATATTTCAATAATAAAAAGGCTAATGAACAAAATGAATTCTTAATATTTACAATGATACTGTAATGATTCATAACATAAGAATTATAAACTAATAAATGTAATTAAAATAAGATAATAATATTTTTTTTTATCATCGTTCCAACCTACAATAATTATGCAGATGGGATTTCTTCGTAGCTACTTCTTTTCCATATATCCCAAAAATGAAAACAACCAAATCCTCCAATACCGAAAAATCCTGATAATAAAAGACCAATAATGACGCCTAAAAATATTCTACCAATAGCTTCACCATTAAAATCGGGCAATAAAACTTTATCGATTTCGTAAACAGCTCCTCCGTTCCAAGCTTTACCACCAATTAATAATTTCGCAGATACCCATTGACCTTTGACCCCAACATTATAATCGCCACCTAATAAATCTTTTTTTATAACTAATTTGACATCATCGGCTAATAAAGTAGGCGCTTCGTAACCATCTTTTATTTCGTCAATAGTTGCTGGCACTATATGTATTCTTGCCCATCTACCTGCTAATTCTTCGTCTGAAATTAATTTGCTCACATTAATTTTCCTAAATGCATCTTCTGATGGGACAAATATCGTAAATGGGTTTATTGGATCTTGTACTAATTCGGTTAAATTTGCCGCATTAACGATCTTTAAAAATGTACGAGCATTAATTCCTTTAAGTAATTTAGCTATTGTTATATGTAATGTTGGTGGAATCAAAACTTTATCAACTACATGTAATACTCCCGATGAAGTTAATACATCTTTTTTACTAACTTCCGTTGTACCATTTGCACCATCAATAAATATATCACCATTGACCTTATTAACTTTAATCGGCTCACTATCTAATGTATAATAGGTTGATTCCCCATCTGGTATTTCTTCACTATACATTGTTTCATTAATCAAGTGATTATTTATAACTAATCTTAAATCATTGATCGCATCTTGATGCAAGAAATAGGCATAAATCAATCCTAATTCCATGAAAGCTTTTTTTGATGGTGCAATCATTGTAAATCCTTTAGCCGATCTTACTTTCGATATCAAATTACCATGATTAACAAAGAAATTAATTGATTTCAATTGTTCATCACTTCCAAGGATTTTCATAATAGGTGGTGGTGGGTTCAATTTTCCTGATAATACGTAAATGATTGCATTTCCGATTTCGACTGGTTGATCTTCTACGATAGCATCATTGAATCGAAGTTCTGTTCTCTGAGTTTCATCTTCTACATACCATCTTTGTAATATGGAAACAGAAGCTCTTTGTCTATGATTTTTTAAATCTTTGGTTCTTAATTCGGTCTTGATATGCATATTATTAAATAAATCTGAAGTTACATATTTCCCTTCCAAAACATGATATATTAAAGTATCTTTCCCTATGCTAATTAAATTCTCGTCAAAATATTCATCTCTTGGTGCCAATATTGTATATGGCGTGTCTGAATCTTCAATATAATGTTGTAATCCGAATTTTATCATTGCACTTACAAATTTTGTTGCTCTCAATCCACAAAGGTATTTATGTTTTGTAAAATGAAGCGCATTTGGTATTGCGATATTATTAATGACATGAATAACTCCATTTTCGGCCAATAAATCTTTTAAGGGGACAGTTCCATCGGCAACACGTATGTTACCTTGTTTATCTTTCTCAACTTTGATTGGTTCGCCCTGTACCGTACTCACTACATAACAAAGGAGGTAGGAATTTTATTTATATATATTTTTTATATTTTTTAAAAAGAAAAATTTTAATCGTAAATCAATTTTTCAAACCATTTGTATTTCCAACGCTAAATTTTTCCGAGTAAAAAACTTCTTCATAATTTAAGTGATGTTTAACAAATAGATCCAAATCATCTAAACCACCACCACATTCTCCAATTAAATACTGTCTTTCATGAAATTGTAATTGACGATTTATAGCATCGTTTGTAGGTGCAAATATAGTAATATGATTTCCATTTGACAAATAATCATCCAACTCTCTATCACGAAGAAAATTGGAAAAAACTTGAAGTTGATCAATAGAAGATAAAGATGTATCTATAAAAAAAAAAAATATTACAAACCGATTAAATTTACTAATTAATAAATAAATTTAATTAATTATTTTACTTACATATATCCCTAGGAGTACGGAAAACTTCAGTGACTACATGAATAATTCCTACGATTTCAAAAATATTTTTAATATTTAAATAGAATTGTCATAAAAATTTAACGGCTTATTAAATTTATTACCACTTACCATTATCAGCTTGCAAATCAAAATCTATGACTTGACCATTACCAACATAAATTTGAGTATCATTAGCTTCTTCAATATCAACTCTAATTTTTTGCCCAAGATTACCTGGCCCAAGTTTTTCTCCCATTTTCAAATGAGTAGTTAATAATTGTCCATTTTGAAGTTCTTCTTTTTTAATTTCTTGATAAAGTAGATGATACAACATACGTTCTTTGGTAATAAGAGGGTCATCTTCAAAAGCTTTATTTATAGGCGCGAATAAAGTTGCTGTTTCTAAATGATTAATATAAGGTAAAAGCATGGTTCGTTGTAAAGCTCTAACTAGATTACTAAATCTTTGATCTTCATAAAGTACATCTGGAATAGTTTTTTTGGCATGGCTGGGAAGATTTAGTAAAAGTATTGTAATAAATAATAAATAAAATATAGACATCTTTTAAAAAAGAGAGGAAAAAGGATTAAAAATGGTCTTCGTAATACAAAGTTAATTTATATAATATGAAACAACCCGCAGTAAGAATTTAATTTTCCAAAAAAGTAAAACAAAAAATCTTACGTACCATTGTTTCTATAAACGTATTTTTGGAATTTTTGTGATTTACAGATTAACAAAATATGCATCTGAAATATTCACAGGTTCTCGTGTTAGTAACAAAGTCTCAAACGTTTTAACTTTCGTTTGAATCATCTCGTCCTTTCTTTCCTCTTATACCAGAAACAAGTCAGGATGTTAGATAATCAAAAGAAATTGGCGTAAATTGATAATTAAGCTTGATCGAGGTTCCGGAAAAACTGATCGAATAAAGTCTGATTCATCATGAAATCAATGTGTCAACATATGCATGCATGTGTAACTGATTAACTGACCATCGACCTATACTACAGTATAAATATATAATATTATATACGCCTTATATAGAAATTTATAATAAATTCCACTAATTTATTATTGGTCGAAATTATGCATAAGTAAAAAAAAAAAATTAATTTTAACAAATTTTTTTTTATCAAATGGCAACATTCGAAAAAATCGAAAAAGAATTAAATGATGCAAAGGATAGATTGAATAAGGCGGAGGAGAAGTTGAAGGAATTCGAAGAGGGGTGGAAAGAAAAAAAAATATGGGAGTTGGAGAAGAAGTTGGATGACGGAGAAGAAAGGAATGAGGAGCAGAGGAAAGTGTGGGAAAGACTGAGAGACGAGTTGAAGGAAGAAAAGAAGGAGTTGAAGACGACGAAAGTGAAGTGGAAGGACCAAACGATAAAGTCGCTGGATAAATTAATTGAATTCAATGAAGAAAAAGGTAATGAACAAATTGTGTAAAAAAATATTATTTTTCATTTATTCCATTTCGCTTATTTATTTATTTGTTTGATATACTGTTTACAATATTGACTGCTTGTGCTTTTCAATTCCTTGCTGTGTACTGTTAATTAAATTCAAATGTTTATTTGACTTTTAAATTTTCAGAACGTTTAAGCCTAGAAGAATATTTATCACGTACTCCGCCATATTTCGCATATTCTCCACATAGCACTACTTCGAAAAGTTCCACAATAGCAGTCGGCATTCCTCCGGATGAAGTAAAAATTTGGAAAGATTTTTTCGAAAACGTAAATAAGCATACATTCGATCAAGAATGAAAATTCAAAGAACCGAAATTTATTGAAGATTTTATTCCAACTAATGAAGAATGTGTCCGCCAGGCTATGAATGTTAATATTTGCATACCGTTGAACAGGGTCAACTCTAGTTATGAGTTTACAATGCGAAAAGTTGCTGGTGTTGGGGACCCAGATTTCGTTTGCCACAAAAAAGATGGTGATGTATTGATCTTAGCAATCGAAATCAAGATTTTAAAACACATCAAACCTGGCCAAACATTACCTGAACTCTACAAAGAGGATTCTAAAGCGAAGATGGTTATACAGACAACTCTACAACTACTTATCAGAAAACGAACTTAAATATGGAGCACTTTCTACTTACGATTGTAATTGGTTTGTTAAAAGAGATCATAACATAAGTTTATATATTTTCAATCAGAAATCTTTTTTTGACTGTATTATTTTTCTTAATTTTTAGTTCAAAAATAAGTTCAAATTAGGGATATTACTAGTCAGTCAATGATCGGTCAAAGACTTTTGACTAACTGATCAGTTAACTGACTGATTTTAACTGATCAGCTGACCGATCAGTTAATAATAATATAATTGAGTAATTTTGGATTAATAGAAAGTTTTAATTTAACCAAATATTATAATTTTAATTCTTACTTTAATATACTAGCATAGTATTTTTTAAAACTATTTTATCATTTTTATTTAGTAATATTGCGAACTTTGATTTTTTTTCAAAATTTCAAAAATTTTAATTTATAGATAATTAAAATAAGGATAAATCTAATTTTAATATTATATTATGCATCTTATTTGTAACATCCAAAATTTTATCTAATCAAAATTTAAGATTAGATGTAATGTTAATAATTTAACAAATCAAAATAAAAGATCAGTTATGTAACAAAAATAAGAATTTTTTTAAAAAATTTCAAAAAACTGTTTGTAACTGAAAATTTTGTCTATGAAATTGTCTTTAATACATTAAGTAAAGTTTTCTAAATTAAATTTTATATTTAAAAATCTTATTTATAAAATATTTAATAAAATAATTTATTATTAAAAAAAATAAAAAAGGGTGTTACAAATAAGACATGTAACAGGATGTTACAAATACATTTTTACTTAATTTAATACAAAATATATTTTAATATTTAAATATGATTGTTCAGTCTTAAATTAGTCAACTAATTATGGCCAATCATAAATATTATAAATCTAAAATCTAAAAAAAGCTGTAATCTTTTTCTATAATATTATCAATCTAAGATTTATCATATTATTTTACTTTTTTAATTATTATTCTCTTCTACTTTTCGATCTTCTTCATTTAATATTACATTATATATTGACTACATTTTACTTCAACTTACATTTCATATAACTTTACAATTTTTAATATCTTAAATGACTCCTCATTATTTTACTCATTAAACTATTATCCCCTAATTATTACAATCTATAAAAAGAATCTTTTTTTACAATCATTCCCGGTATACCAAAAATAACATAAAATTATTAAACAGAATTTTCTCTATAATAAATATACAAATTTATATTAGAAATCTTTTTATTAACAAAATAGATTTATTATAAGATAACATTTCAAATATACAGTCAACTCTTGATATAGCGAACTCTTGATATAACGAATTTTTTGAAAAAATATAATAAAAATACTCTTGTTATAGTGAATTGGCCAATTAAATTTCTTAAAATCTTTATTATAGCTTAATAGTAAAGTTGAGGTCTAGGATATATACACACAGGACAAAAGTATTCGGACACTATGCAAATTAATAAATTAATTAGGTAAAGTTGAATATAAGTAAACTTTTTTTTTATTAATAAATGTAATTTCAGTTTTATAAGTAAAGTTATTTATCATAATATATCACGTGATATATAAAAATTTCAAAGAATTTAAGTAAAAATTGGTCGAACTATAATAATTTAATATTTATTTTAAAATAATACATTTTCTAATAAAAACTTTAGTTATAGTATAATATTAAAATGTTTGGTCTTAACATAATTTTTATTACTAAGTAATCTTTTTTGTTATTATTTAAAATATATAATTATAAAATTTTTTATAAAATTTTGTTAGATAGTTATGAAATAATATAAAAAAAGCTGAAAAAATTTAAAGAAATTTTTAGCTATATTACAACATTATAATCTTTAATAAAAACACATAAATTTTAATCATTCATTAGCTTTATATTAATCTAAAAATAATACTAATATGGTATAAGATACCCTTTACTTTTTATTACAGCCTTAATTCTACAAGGCATTCTTTTAACTAACTTTAATAATCTTTTAGGTTTAATTTGATACCATTCATATTTAAGAGCAGCTAAAAGTTTTGACTTATTTTTTGGTTTAAGACTATACATCTTGACCTTTCTTTCCAATACATCTCACAAATTTTTAATTGGATTGAGGTCAGGGCTCTGTGCTGGCCAAGAAAGTAATTAATGTAAATTTTCTTCTTTCCAACCTTTTGTGAATCGTACTGCATGTATTGGAGTATTATCATCTTAAAAGTATAGCTATTAGGTCTAAGTTCATTAAAAAAAGGTAAAAGATAACATTTAAGTAATTCTACATACTTTTTAGCATTTAATTTTCCCTCAATTAGTACTAATGGTCCTACTTTAAAGTTGCAAAAACACCACTAAACCATAATTCCTTCTGACTTTTGAACTGTTAGAATTAAATAATCTTTTGTATTTGCCTTATAAATTCTATACCAAATCTATTGATTAATATTATTTCTAAATAATTCAAAATGAGATTCATCACTAAAAATTATAAAATTCTATTCATCTTGCCAACTTTTTCTAATATGATACTAAAGTAAATGTTTTTTTTTATTTACATCATAAAATAAAGGTTTTTTTCTACCAGTATATCTATAATAACCCATAGAATGCAGTATTCATTTAACAGTTTTACTATTTAATGAAATATTAAGACCCTGGTTAAATTATTCAGTAATTTCTTCCACAGCTTGTTTACAGTTTTGTCAGACTATTCTTCCTAATTAACATTTATCTTATTCTAATAAAGCTAGAGGTTTACCACTCTTAAGTGCAGTATCAGTGCAGTTTTCTTTATTGTACTTCGTAATTACATCATGGATAGTAGATTTTAGTTTGCCAAGAATTTCTGAGATGTTTCTTATGCTATATCCGCCCTTTGATAAACCTACAATTTTTTCACACTCAAAAGGTATAAGCTTACAGATTTTTAGTATTTTTATGTATTAAAATAATTATTTATAAAAAAATTTTTTTTTATTTAAAAAAGCGAAGCCATAGGATTCTAAAAAAAAAAAGAATAACAAATTTGGTTAAAAATTGGACGTTCTATTATTATTTAAAGATCGATAATATACAGTTAAATTTGTGCAATATTGCAATTGTCCAGATACTTTTGTCCTATATATATAGAGTTCATTATAATAAAAGTTGACTGTAATAATATTTCCATTCAAGATTGATATTCATCAAATATTGCTCTTAATGAAGTCTAGGAATTCTTTATTCAAATAGTAATAACTTTAGCTTTTAAACATATTCTTAAATAAACTATTACTATCTAATATAATTTATTATATACATATTTAAATTTTTTGATTCACAAGCAAATTAAAAAATATATAAACTTTTTATTAATGCAAAATATATTTTCTCATCTTTATACCTTAATTCATAAATAGTAAATACCTTTGTTATTTTTAAATTAGATTATTATTTTATTCTTATATCTATAACTGAATATTATATATCTACTATTTTTATTGATGTTTATTATAATAATAATAAACTTTTATTATATATATATAAATTAAAATATAATATTATTAAATTATTACAAGCCAAACAGCTTATTATCAGTAAAAATAAAAATAATAATTATATTTGTAAATTTATTTAACATTATGTTTACAATTTCAAAGATGTATTGACAAAGATAATTAAAAAATAATCATTCTTAATTAAATAATAATTGACCTATATATATCTAATCAATGTTAAATTTTAGATTCTGATTTTATTAAAACTCAAATAACTAACCATTTTAAACTATTACAGATTTTATTATAGAAACATTACTAATTTCTTTCAAGTAATTTTTTATATAATTAGTTTATATGTAAATGAATTTATAAACTAATAGATAATATTACAGTCAGTTCTTTAAGATGCTTATGAGTGATAAGCGAAGCAATATTTATGGGTGGTAAGTAGAAGGTTTAATTTGATATTTAAATTTAGAAGAGTATTGGTAAATTAACAGTTTATTTAATTACTATAACAATAGAGTACTGTCTCAGTCAGTACTCTGTACTATACAATTATGTTAAAGAGATTAAATTAAACTATTATATAAAACTATATGTCAGATACACTGCTAAGCTAAAAGAAATTGTCCTCTATTTATATAAAATAAAAAATATAAAGTTATTAAAGATATAAAAGAAATAAATATAATAAATAAAATATATGAAATAAATAATATATAATAA